TAATCCAATCCACCCAGGCCTAGGCATCCTAATTCATACCATTTTCTTCTAGGTAGATCTCAGAGAGTAACTGAGTTTTTAAAAATACTTCATTGTGGAAAGCAACAAACTATAGGCTTTATTTATCATAAGCATAAAAGGCAGACATTCTGAATGCAATAAAGACTGGTCATTTCTCTTAAAACATAAAGTTTGAATCCTCTACAATCTATAGTTAATGTGATGTCCTCATTCTCTTTTATTTATTACATTCCTCTTCTGGGAATGCTCGATTTAACTCTTCTCTATATTTCCATGCATGTCACTTGACTCAGAGAGCCACCTTTCTTTGGGTTTTCAGTGAAGCCCCATAGGAAGAGCTCTTTCCCGTTTTAATTTTTTTTTTCAACGTTTTTATTTATTTTTGGGACAGAGAGAGACAGAGCATGAATGGGGGAGGGGCAGAGAGAGAGAGAGAGAGAGAGACACAGAATCGGAAACAGGCTCCAGGCTCCAAGCCATCAGCCCAAAGCCTGACGCGGGGCTCGAACTCACGGACCGCGAGATCGTGACCTGGCTGAAGTCGGACGCTTAACCGACTGCGCCACCCAGGCACCCCTCTTTCCCGTTTTTATGGCTAAAATCTTTCTAGCATGCCTCTCAGGGAAAATTAATATTTTCATATATTAAAGCATTTCTATTCTTCTAACATAGCTCTAATTTACTACATTAAAATATCCCTGTATCTGTTTATTATATACTTTTCCTCTTAAGCACATAATGTAAAATATTTAACTTATGTTTTCATGAAATGAATAAGAAATAGCCCTGTTGTTATATTCCCCATCATGTGATACTACTTTAGAATTTGGAGGTCATCTTTTTTCAGTTTCTAAGTTGGCCCCCCAATTTATATAAACCATCAAAATTCTTTCAACAATGACACCATTACCATCACAATTGAACCTTCCAGCCATTTTCCATGTACAGTAAGTAGGCATTTTGATCTGTGTTGCATAAAATGTATAGGTGGTTTCGTTTTTCTGTTTCCATCCAGATACCTGACAAAGTGTGGACAGAGCCCCACTGAGCATTGGTTCAAGGCCCAAATTACTTGCTGTAAAAATGGCCATGAAAGGGAGCACGGGCTCTTTTTTTTTTTTTAATGTTTATTAAAATTTATTTTTGAGAGAGAGAGCATGTAAGAGCCGGGGAGGGGCAGAGAGAGAGAGAGAGAGGGAGACAGAGGATTGAAGCGGGCTCCCTGCTGATAGCAGAGAGCCAGATGAGGGCTCAAACCCACCAACTGAACTGTGAGATCATGACCCGTGTTGAAGTCGACGCCTAAGCCACTGAGCCACCCAGATGCCCTGGAGCATTAACTCTTTTATGTGGCTAGGAAAGCACTACTCAGTAGTGTGTCCCCCAACTGGAGGTTATGTTGCCCCTATGGTGGGGATTTGGGAAATGTATGGGGCACATTAAGTTGGCACAATAACTGAAGTCTGCTACTGACGTTTACTGCCTGGAAACCAGGAATGGCAACTTCCCACTCTACAGAGAAGTGTCCGATTCAAAATGCCAGCTGTGCTTTGTGCTGAAACACTGATTGAGTGGAGCGTAGCTGGTATTAATCAGGATTTTTAGTTGCAAGCAACAGAACCAACTCTAGCCAGTTTAAGTGGAAAAGGAGCTTTATAGCAAAAGATATTCAATAGCTCACAGAATCCCCAGAAAGTCCTGCAAATCAGGCTGGGTGGCCAAGCAGCAGGAATGATGCTCCATTACACCACCAGCTGCTCCAGGGGAACCCTGTCGCCAACTCTGGCACTGTATACTACCTACACAGGGTGTGGGGTCCCCCAGATAGCACTTTTCCCACTACCGTTTCTGAGAGCTGGATATCTCTCCAACAATCTCACCAGAATAGATTGATTCCATGTGCAGTCACCCTCTTGCTCTGCGGAGCCCAGGTCACATGTCTGAACCCATGACAAAGAAGGCTGAGGAGTTGAGTTCCTGACCTCTACCTCAGGGCCTCTACTCTGGGGAAACGGGGCTCACAAGGTAGGAAGTTCCCCCCAAATTAGGAAGGTGTTCAGAAGAGGCTGGGAAGTCACTAGGTATGACAAATATCCATGAAATCATCAAAAGCCCTTATCATATGCCCCTCCATAAAGATATTTCTCAAGCATGAACCTGACAAAAATAGCTTCCAGATACGCCTTCCAGAGTCTTAAAAAGGTATACTTAGTTTCTCCGCACTGTTACATATTCATTCTATTTTCTCTGCCTCAATTACCATATCAGATATTTTTTTGGACTGGTGCATACATATCACTTTTGTCTCCTTTCTCAGCACAGTAATTCCTGTCCAGTTATAAGACTTATTCTTTGTTCTCTCACCGCCTACAGCTTTATATATCCCACATGAGCATTTACAGAAAAAAAAACACAAAAACCTTTTTTTTAATTATGGATAAGGTACCATATATGTGGTTTAAAAACAAGCAAAGAAAGGACAGTGCACTTTGATTCAAAGACATTATCATGGTCACTCTGTGCCACATGGTTTTTGGCAGGAAGTGTGGGGAGTAAACTGAAGAGTTGTGCCAATTTGCTATAAGGTTACTTAAGAACAAGAGCCCCATATGTCATATCACTGCTTAAGTTGACAGGACTCCAAGCAGATGGGTCAGAGAATGGTGTAGAACACATAAATATATAGGGTAGTGTCACAGGATAGTGGTTTTTCAGAAATAACTTGAACCACTAAAGGGAAAGTAACATAAGCTTACTAGAAAGCATGAATTGATTTTTCAGTTGTATTATTCCTATCTTTGATGATATAACAGAACTTAATGATCTTTCAATAAGTGACTAATAACTGAATACGTAGAGGAATAACTACTGCATTTACATTTTTAAAAAAATTTTTTTAGCGTTTCATTTATTTTTGAGACAGAGAGAGACAGAGCATGAACGGGGGAGGGGCAGAAAGAGAGGGAGACATGGAATCGGAAGCAGGCTCCAGGCTCTGAGCCATCAACCCAGAGCCCGACGCGGGGCTCAAACTCACTGACCGCGAGATTGTGACCTGAGCTGAAGTCGGACGCTTAACCCACTGAGCCACCCAGGCGCCCCCTACTGCATTTACATTTTAAGATCATCCCATTTTAAGATCTGTGGGGCAGTCACAGAGTCTAGGATCCCTGGAAGTCACCTGGCCAAACTATGTCCGATTCTAATTTGGCAACAGAGACTCATATAAGTGAGCTGGTTTGCTCGAGATTGCTTCTCAGTGGTGGAAGGTCTAGAAGCCACAATCCACCTCCTGGACCAAACTGAGACTCTTTGACCACCCATGCAGCCTCCCTGTCAGAAGCCAAGGCTACATAACATATACTACCATTTTAGGACAACATATTCTGGCGATGAGACCCAGCGAGGGATTATTCTAGGAGTTTGAACAGTGGCGGAAGGGTCTTTTGAGTATTTCAGATCCCAAATTTAGACTTTTGCCAATTCTTATTTGGTTGTTAGAATGGAATCATGAAGAAAATATATTTTATTGTATATTTCCCATGATCTCTGTAAACCTGATTAAATGAAGATTTCACTGATAAGGATTAGAACCTTTAATCTCTAAATTAACTATCTGGGGTCTTTTCCCCCCCTCCAGTTCCATCACATCAGCTGACAGCTCTCGTGTACATTCATATAACCTCAGAGTTACAAGGGAGCTGGCTGAGTCAAAAGAAAGTGACCCATCCTTAACTTGTGAAATGTATTGTACTTGGTAGAGAGAGGAAGTGTTGCATTGTGGAAAGACTATGGCTTTGAAGTAGAAGACCCTAGTCTAAATTTAGCCCTACCTTTTATTAGCTTTATAAATAGCCATTCAGCTTCATAGCCATTTAACCATTTACAGCTCCAGTTTCCTAGTTTCCTTAAAGGACTTTTTTTTTTTAATGTTCACTTATTTTTGAGAGAGAGAGAGAGAGAGAGAGTCAGAGCACAAGTGGGGGAGGGGCAGAGAGAGAGGGGGAGACACAGAGGCTCCAGGCTCTGAGCTGTCAAGCACAAAGCCTGAAGCAGGGCTCAAACCCAAGGACCACAAGATTGTGACCTGAGCCGAAGTTGGACACTTTGCAGACTGAGCCGCCTAGGCGCCCGAGTTTCCTAGTTTTCCAAGCTGTAAAACAGTCCTAGTAACTTCCTAGGAGGGTCACTGAAGGGAAGACATGTAATACTGTGCCTCAATCACCTGGCACAGAGGTATCTAACCAATGAAAGCAACAATTCTTAACTAAAGTAAGACCTGTAACCCCAGATTGCAAAGAAGACACTATTTGAGCCTTTCAGATTGTTTGGAAAGATTGGAACAGCTCCTTGAGAATGAAGATATTTATGGAAATACGCTGAAAAGATCTAATTCTCCTATAGTACTGTTAACCTAGATTAATGGAACAGTGAAAATAGCTCTGGAATGTTGAGATGGAGCCCTTGGGTGTAGTTCAGGGCCAGTTCCCTAATAGCAATGGCCTTGGAAAAGGCACTCACAGCCTCCTCAAGTCTGTTTCTTCATTTGAAAAACAAGGCAAGTCCCAAAATATCTTTGCTTCCTATCTTAAAGGTTTATTTAGGGAAAGCCCTCTACACCACCAAGGGATTTCACGGTAAGCAGCTCCCTGTCTTTGCATCTGGAAGGTTCTGCTCCTTTCATCTTCACTCCTGCTGTCACTTCACTGACACATAATTAGCAGTTTGTGAGATGCTATTTAGATTTTCTTTGCATTTCACGTTCTGTTGTTAATTCTCTGTGAGGCTGACTGATTTGAGGTGATTTAAAAATCTAAAGCAGAAGATGCTCTGCAACAGTGCTATCTTAGCATGAAGGATAAGGACATAAATAAAGGTGAAAAAACACTAAAGCGATCAGAGCTCCTGCTGATGACTTCATTCTACCAACACAGATACATACAACTTCCAAGAATCAGGAAAAAAAAGGGAGAGGCAAAAAGGGAAAAACAATACATTTATTAAGAGGCATGAAAATGCATAAACTCATTTATAAATAAATGTAGAATTTACCCAGTGAAAAAATAGCTAAAATCCATGAGTAAGCTGGATTTTGTATCTGAAATGATTACATATTTGATCTCCAATAATTTCCTCTCCAACATGATCTCTTAGTAGCAGCCATTTTGCAATGACCATAGAAAAAGCTGTTACCAAAGATTATCACGTGGGGGGAAATTTTTCAAGAATTTTCTTTAAAAATGAACCAGTGCAAACAAATTCAGATTATAAGGGATACAGTAAGACCTAGGGCTTATCCTCAGAAAAGTAGAAAATAAAAATCCCAAACATTTATTCATTAAGAAATGAAAAAGCAAACTACATTTTGATCATTGAAAAATAATACATATGGATATTATAAAACATTCTTAACCAGTAATTGTAATAATTACACTTATAAATGTTCATTCAAGTACTAATGTTCAATAAACATTCAAATCCCCATTAAAAGTAACACTAGATACAGACATATGTGGACAATACTACTTCTGATTTAATGACAACAAAAATCACATCAACAGAAGGCAAGTGATCCTTAAAACACTGTATTTTTTTTTTTTTGTATGTAAATGATTTTTCACAGTCTGTGTATTTTATCTGTGAGAACCCAAGGAACATCTCACAACAGCTAATTAAGAAGTCCTTTCTATAAAGTAACTTTTGATAGTACAGAAACAAACATACCAGAACACAAGTTGAGTTTAAAACATAACAGGGCAGAATCTGTTTTCTTTGGCAGGAAATTATTCATTCCTTACCAAATGTTGGTTTGCTGTTGTGTGGACACTATGAAAACACTTTTTGGTATTTACCAAAGACCTATGAAATCATCTGAAAAGGTTTCATTAACTATGGTACCGTGATAACAGCGTAGCGCTTACGTCAAAGTTGCGCCGAAATCAACCTGGTTTCCTTGATTACTGTTGTTAACAGATCTTCCTTCAAAAAGCTCCCTCCTAATCCTGGCCTGAGTCTCAGGTTTTAATAAAAGTTCCTTTATCTGTTTCACTTTGGACTTCAGACCCATCCTTTCTCGACGCAAAGCTTCATTAATTAAGTCCCGGAATCCAATAGGTTTCTTGCCTAGGGGAAAAAAAAATTATATAATACATTTTACATACAAATGCCAGTGAAAGACATTAAATATGGCACACTGACTTATCAAAAGAAGGCTAAAAGAAACCTTTACAATGTTGCCCACATGTTATAGAAAAGGTTGCATTTTGCCAAAAATATATAATTTGCATGAAACGAATTTACGGTAAATAAAAATCACTGCATAGCCACAGCAGACACAGGACAAGTGTGAGACATTATGGACTGACAGTATGGAAAACGATTTCAACAGTGATTATTTTAAACTTAGCACTTGTTAGCTGTGTGTGTGTTTTGGCCTCAGGTAAAGTGGTCAAATGCCCTGCTAAGCAATATAAATGGCAGTATTCCATTTATGGCAAGGCCCCTTCCAAGGCCTTTAATTTGAGTCCATGAGGCATAACCCAAAGTCCCCTCTCCCTTGGCCATGGCTGAGGGTAAGTGAAACTTGGGCCATTCTTTCATAAGTGAGTTTCCTCTGCTAGCCACGGCACTCCATTCTCTTCTGTTGTGCTTCAGAAATGCAAACACATTGATCACGAAAATATTAGGCGATCTCCACAGCTTGGACAAGAGACATTTAAACAGCACAATGCAAAGTAGTCCGTTGACTCAGCAGAGGGGAGCCGGATGCTTCTCACGGAGCAGCGGGGGGGGCCTGCCTGCATTGGGGTCTCATTTCCTGTTGTTGTCACTCTCAGTGCCATTCCTATCAGCCTCTTGAGTTTTCACAGAGCTCCCATCCCCTGGCTTGCTTTTGTTCTGTGTTTCTTCCAGATACTGCTGGACAGCCTTGAGCACCGCGTTCTCCACCAGCCTCTTACTGAGCCTTACCAGTTCAGCATCATCAGGCTCACCTCCATTCTTATCACCTACATTCCACAATAGAGAAGAGAGATCACTGAGGTCATATTGCCATAGAAACTTGGCATGCAGGGGCCGGCTAGTTCAGTTAGTTAAAAAGAGCAAGTGTCCTTCAATCTGGCAAATTGGATCCGTAAATCCAAGAACACTGGTGTGGCTTTTCATTAGGTATTTGCAGAAACAGGAGACTGCCTATGCCTGAAGATGTCAGGTTGAAAAGCAGTTCTTTAACCCCACTCCAAAAATATTCCACCTAGCAATGCTGGAAGCTTCCTATTTCTACATGGAATTTTTGTCCTCTCATCCATGGCTATTTGCTACTGTTAAAGTCCACGCGCCCACCACCTGGAGCCTCAGACATGTGAATTCACCAACCAGATCTGCGTCTGCTTTTCCTTCGCCACTGATAAATGTCAGGTGATCAAGATTTCCCAATCAACTAACTACTTGGGATCACTAGTTGTTTAAATGATTGGCCCATAGATTGGTTGTTAATAAACTCTCAGCAATTCCATGAAGACAAAGGCAGTTATTCCTGCTAGGAACTGGTTTAAAATAAACTTGTAAAATTAATATTCTATGTAATCTCGGTGCTATCACTGCAATTTCAGAAATAAGAAACTCTTCAAGAGTTAGGATGATGATAGTAAATTACTAGATGTTAATATTTTATAGCCATTTTATTTCCCTGCTAGTGATGATCAAGGTTTAATTATTCTACCTTTCATTTCACCTTAAAAGGGCTGGTTCTCATCTATTCCTATGCTACACATTTCCCACTCACTCTCTTCCATGTCTCCATTAACTGGGGAAAAAGAGCAAGGGACTCATCTCTCATGCCCATTCATTCCCTAATCTTCTTCCATGAGCTGTGGACCCAAGAAGGCAGATGAGTGGAGGCAAAGACAATGCAGCACCTAAATATGGTAAACAAATACTAACAGATCTCAAGGGAGTGACAGACAGCAATATAATAATAGTAGGGGACTTCAGTATTCCACTTTCAACAATGAATAGATCATCCAGATAGAAAAACAGAAAGGAAGCATTGGATTTGAACTATACTTTGGGCCAAATGGACCTAAGAGACATATACAGAACATCCAGCAGTAATCAAAACAGTATGGTATTAGCATAAAAACAGACACATAGACCAACTGAACAGAATCTAGAGCCCATAAGTAAACTCATGCATAGATGGTCAACTAATGTTTGACAATGGAGCCAAGAAAACACAATGCAGAAAGGACAGCCTCTTCAATAAATGGTGCTGGGAAAAGTGACATCGACATGCAAAAGAATGAATGAAATTGGACCCCTATCTTACACACACTCACAAAAATTAATAAGGAATGGAATAAGGACATAAACATAAGACCCGAAACCAAAAACTCTTGAGAAGAAATCAAAGGAAAAAAAGTTCCTTGACACTGGTCTTGGGAATGATTTTTTCTGGAGATGACACCAAAGAACAAACAATGAAAGTAAAAATCAGCAAGCGAGACTATATCAAATTAAAAAATCTTCTGCACAGCAAAAGAAACAAACAACAAAATGAAAGGACAATCTACAGAATGGGAGGAAATATTTGCAAGTCATATATTTGATAAGGGGTTAATATTCAAAATATATAAGGAACTCCTACAACTCAATAGCAAAAACACAAACAATCCAATTTAAAAATGGGAAGAGGACCTGAATAGACATTTTTTCCAAATAAGACATACAAAAATGTCTAATAAGTACCTGAAAAGGTGCTCAATATCACTAATCATCAGGGACATGCAAATCAAAACCCCAGTGAGATATCACCCCACAACTGTTAAAATGGTTATTATCAAAAAAACAAGAGATAACAAATGCTGGCGAGGATGTGGAGAAAAGGGAACCCTTGTGCACTGTTGATGGGAAAGTAAATTGGTGCAGCAACTGTGGAAGATAGTATGGAGGTTCCTCAAAAACTTAAAATTGGAATTACCATATGATCCAGCAATCCCACCCACTTCTAGGTATATATCTGAAGAAGGTGAAATCACAATCTCAGAGAGATATCTGTACTCCTATGTTCACTGAAATGTATTTCACAATAGCCAAGACATGAAAAAAACCTGTGTACAATGATGAATGGATAAAGAAAATGTGGTATTTATATAAGATGAAATATTATTCAGCCATAAAAAGAAGGCAATCCTGACATTTGTGACAATATGGTAGAAGTTTAGGGCATTGTGCTAAGTGAAAGATGGCAGGCAGAGAAAGAAATACCGTGTGATCTCATTTACATGTGGAATCTAAAAACACTGGACTCAAAAAAAACAGAGAATCAAACGGTGGTTTAAGCAGGGGCAGAAAAATGAGGAATCCCGGTCAAAGACTTTTAGTTACAAGATGAGTAAGTTCTGAGGATCTAACGGAAGCACAGTAACTACATTACCAATACCGTATCATATACATGAATATTTGCTATGAGAGTAGAGCTTTAATGCTCTCACTACAACAACAACCAAATATAATTAGGTAAAGGTAAAGGATGTGTTAACTAAAGTCTCTGTGGCAAATATTTTGCAATAAATATGTATATCAAATCATCACATTCTATACCCTAAACTTACACAATGTTGTATGTCAATTATATCTCAATAAGCTGGGGAGGAAAAATAAAAACTAGAATGCTCACTACATTAAAATCAGCTCAATTTTGGAATATTACCCCTGGCCTCCAGGAGGCAAAAGCCAAGTGTTACACTTGCATCCTTAGGTCTGGGATAGGTAAATACTGAGGGTCTGAGCTGGAAGATGGATATTGTTTTCTATGCTTATATGTAACAGGGATTGAAATACAAAAGCACATATGCTAAGGGAGAGAATTGGCCTGAAGACCTCCTTCTGAGCCCCACTTCTATTTAACACACGTCCAGGACCAACTCTGCTTATAACCATCATTCCTAGCACCCTCCAAGCAGATGAGAGATAGCTTAAAGACCCACCTAGATTTTCTACCAGTGCAAGGCCTTAGCAATTGCTTTCCCTTAAAAAGTGGCAATGTGGCACCCCAGATGACCAAAAGTTCTAGGTAGAACCTTTGAAGTGCAAAATATGCTTAGAATTGAGTAAGCTTCAACTCTGTGATATCTACATAGAAGTAATTCAATGTAAATACGTCAGGATATTATTAAAATAAAGATAAAGAAATTAATACCACATTTGGGGCAATTTAAGACTATTTTTATCAGTAAGAATAAATGAGTATATTGTGTAATACTTACAGGATTTTAGCTTAATCTTACAAGACAGTGTTTATATAACCGATACCTCCAAATGTGTTACGTACCTGGAACTATTTGTATAATGGCTCTTCAAACTTAAAAGGGAAAAAGTCACACTGCAAATGAAGGGACACTTTTTTTTTTTTAATTTTTTTTTCAACGTTTTTATTTATTTTTGGGACAGAGAGAGACAGAGCATGAACGGGGGAGGGGCAGAGAGAGAGGGAGACACAGAATCGGAAACAGGCTCCAGGCTCTGAGCCATCAGCCCAGAGCCTGACGCGGGGCTCGAACTCACGGACCGCGAGATCGTGACCTGGCTCAAGTCGGACGCTTAACCGACTGCGCCACCCAGGCGCCCCAAAGGGACACTTTTTAAGTACCCCCAAAACACTGGGAATGACTGCAGCTGCTACCCTACTGTGCTCGGCGCCCAGGCCAGAGGTGCATTCCTCCGGGCTATTCCTTACTCTGGTCAGCTTTCAGGTAACATCAGTCATCATATCACTGATACTCACTAGTTGTACTTGATCCTGGTCTTTACTCACTCCCTAAGATGCCTCAGGTCACATCATCTGTGTTTCTGAGATTTCTCTCGGCCTGCTACGAAGTGCTCTTGTTACTTCAAACACTCAGAGATTGAAAACACAAAAGTTTTCCCACGAAAAGTTAATTTTCCCTTCTGATTTCCCATTTGTGATTATGCTTTTATTATTATTTTATTATCCAAGTCAACCAAGCTCAAAACAAGACGGACACTGTCTGATTCCTGCATTTCCCTCATTAACTCCTTTACTAGCCAAGCCCCATGAATGTGCTTTTCACAATTTGTCTTCTCCTCAATGCATTTGGTATAAC